TTTCCCCGGAAGCACACGACCGGTTTCGCGGTTGTTGCCACTCATCAGGTATGTGTACCCGGTACTCCTCTGCCCACTCGTCTTCATACTTGTGTACTCCGATGTTATATGTTCACTAGGATCCAATTTGAATCGTCTGGATTGAGCGCTTGCACATGCAGCCTCGTTGTTCGTTGGGTTAGCAGTGACCCAGACACGAATAACTATAAGAAATCACAGTTGTGATTCATTTGTTGGCTCTTCAATGAAGAGTATCCATTCACACTCCAGACGATTCAAATTAGATCCTAGTGAACATATATATATATATATATATATATATATATATATATATATATATATATATATATATATATATATATATATATATATATATATATATATATATAGGAGTAGTCGTTTGCTATGAATTAAAAACGGTTCTCAGCATATAGTTTCAATTTCACGATTTATATTAGGTACATCGCGCAATGGGTGGATAAAGTGAGCATAAATAAAATTTGCTCTCACTGAAATTCATTTCATGCGACACCATGGATGGCTGTGCTTATATGACCTTGCATGCCCGGATAAAATGCCTTGAGCAAACTTAGCCAAAGAACGCCTAGATGTGGAAGTATCATTGTATTTTTTGGGATGCCGTTAAGGTAATCCTTCTCAGTTGCACTTGGAAAGGTTTCCCATTTAAAGAGTTCAGTAGAAATAGGTTTTTGAACCGAAATGCTTATTGTAATTGTATTGATCGGTGAATGTCAAGAGAAATTCTTTTGGATCGAGAACAAGAAGCTGGGTAAGGAAAAATGTTTTATTCAATCCTATACGTTCTTTTATAATTCATATGGGTGAGGTGACACCGAAATGCGTTAACCGCTTGCCGATGTAAAGGTCATGGTCGATATGATAAAGATGGGTTGCTATGGAAGGAGGGGTATGTTTCTAGCCAAAGAGTTCTTTTTTTAAATGGTTTCAAATGCTTTCTCCTGATGAAGGTCAGTTTGACTAGGAAACAAAAATTCCAGTTCCACTCAGTGTGAGCATTGGTGTTAAGGTCACTTTGGCGTTCTTCGTCAATTGCTTATGTGGTTATCAAGATAGCGATGAATCGATCCACATGAACTGGTTTATCTCGGCATCTCTGCAATGAGGATCAAAGTGGGATGGCATAGGCTCACAAGTTCGAATCCTTCATGTAGAATCTTGTCCATTACATTGATAATTGTGGATATATATGGGACTAACCTTCGTCGAGTTTCGTGATCAGAATCCGATAGATGGTGTGCCTAAGTATCACCGTTTGTAGATAATTTCGAGTAAAGGCACCAATGAAAAAGAGTTTTAATGCCAATTTTACGTGTCAAACAGTTGGGTAGGACTGGAGACACTCACCAACTCCCCTCGTTCATTGACGACTTGATCATCTGCTTAGTACGTCAGCTGGTCGGATAAAACAGTATGGGGAAACTTGATGGGTGTCGTAATAATCTTTGATCTCACTCAACTCCACTGAATACTTCAATCAATCTTTGGCCAGAGAACCGCCCTATGAAGGAATAAATTTTTTGGCTCAGTCAATACTGAAGGACGTCGATATTGGACTCAATAGAAGTCATTGGTAACGGACACCTTATTATCTTCTATTGATGGTGCACTGCCCTATTAACCAATGTGGGCTGTCCACTTGGATGATCCTCCCGACTGGGTGGAAGCCATCAATTGCTGCTATTGCATACTGATGCTTCTGGAAAAATTTCTCGCTTGTAAAGAAGGATGTATTTTAGAGATGCTAAAAAAATGATAGTCGTTTTACTGGTCTGCGTAGGTAATGCCTGTTCTTTGCTAGAACACTCTGTGTAGTGACATCTGAGGCAAACTTTCCGTCAAAGAAAGAGGCAGACGGTAATATTTTCACCTACGCCGTAACTAATGAGTGTCCATGGGTAGTTTTCAGACATCTTAAAAGAAATCCTTTATTTTGCCGGCAAAAGTATCTCACTTTATCTAGATGACTATCTAAATTTCAAGTCTACGGATTTCAGATAACCATCTTTTTCCCCCAAAAACAGTCACCTCAGTTGTGACAACTATTCAGAGTACTATTCTCCAGTACCGCTGACTGGTGAACAGTTGTGTTATTGCCATTTAAAAACTTCGCGTAAAGTGATTTCGTTATGCCGCCCAAGGAAATCTATCGAACCGGTATTCCTGAAAAGTTTTTCTGTCATCCCTTACAATTTAAAGAATAATAAGGTAAAAATCAACAAATAGTGCCAAAAACGGAAGGAGGACGCGTCTGAATGATAAAATAAACTAATAATGCGACAACAACGAAAAATATTTCCTGAACAGTATACCAGAAATAACCCGGTAGTTCCGTTTGCCAAATTACTCCGACATGCCTCCGTAAGGAACAAGACGATTCACCAATCTATTTTGCTGCGTAACTATTAGGAACATCTCTCCTAATTGAATTAAACGTGGCAATAATGAGACAAAATGTGTGATTCCATTGAAACCTATAAACCGATGATTTTTGATACGATTCACGGTCTATCCTCTGGAGTGCGATTGGAGTTAGCTACTTAAACTCACTGAGTTTCAGGTCACGCACATAATCCGGTCTTGAATAAAACGGAGAACACATTAAAACTCTTTCAAGCACAAGTGTGTCAGTTCAGCTTCACCAGTGTGGCACGACTAAAACTTCGTCCTTCTCTGCTATAATTCCTTCCCTGCCCCTCCACCGTATGCTCAATTCTCTTCTGAACGATTCCTAACATGAATCTAGTTCACTCCCATCTGACCCTTTGTCGAATACTAACGAGCAGCCGTCTGTTCCAACGCGCCAACGCGGCTTCCCGCACACAGCTGGCCCCGTTTGCTTTTTGTTCTACTTATCTTGAACATAAGTAATCGACCATTTATTCGGAGAAAGTTATTAAAACTGCACTTGTATGTGTCCCAGTCGAGTCGAATACTAACATCATATCCATCTCGGGTTTTAATTGTTCTTTGATCGGCTGTTGTGGTCAAAAGAAGTGGAATTTGATACCTCATTCACAGGAAAAATAGTGCGGATCCTCGATCTGGCTTGCTCCCAAGTAAGTGAACGACTGTTCACTGTGACTGATTCTATGAAAGCAGGACGCATCGGGCTTCATAGCCTTGACTATGCAGAGGAATTAAAACGGTCATGGACTAGAATGACCGAGTTGTATTTTACCCTTATTACCAAATAGTTATGTTCCAAACACCACTTCTTTTCTGAGCCCGTTACCTGGAATCGTAAATAGGTCTTCAGGTTCGTTTTAAGTCACTATGCAAATAAAAGCTATGTTCTGACCGAGATAAGTTAATTTATTCAGTGTCACATTATATAGCAGTACAGAGTAAGTTAATTTCAAGCGCCCTCACAAATCATAAAATTACATTACATTGCAGAAGACTAATCTTAAAGGCGCCCAAGTTAACGGACTGTTGTACTGATTGATCTAAGAAAAGCATGTGATCCAAATTGATTTAAGAACAGGCAATAGGCTTGAAGCTGCTTATTCTTCTTTTGTCCTCAAGTGATTTGCCGCATGCTTTACGGTGGAGAACTGTTTTGGGAAGCTCGAATTGGTGCTAAAACTATGTTTAGAGTAAAAAAGAACATCGCGATTATCGTAAAATTTTATTGTTTAGTAACAGCGTAGTCGAAATCGTTGGTAGGTCGTCGACTTTTCGGTCACCACGGGTAACGTTTTTCAAAGCAGGTTTTACGAGCGAGTGAAACCGTGTTATTTACCAATAAAAATTTTCATCCTAACCTTTCACACGGTACATCAATTTTCGACACACTCCCAACCGACCACGGTTCTGACAAACTAATTTTAAGTATCGCCTTCTGAAATTATCGAAAGGGTCTTAGTTACCCACTTTAACATTTTTAGCCAGAGTAGAAAGTCTTGGTTTCTTTAATCAAAAAGCTGGTCGTTGCTTAAAATGAAATTAACCGCAATCATTTAGTTTGAAAGGACAACTTCTGACCAGCGTTATTTTGAGTGCACATGATATGAGAGATTTCAGCAGTGTACTACGCTGCTTTTGAATTTTCAATTTGCGTGAATGGAAATAAAATTCAGAATTCCATTAAACAACACCTTTTATTACGTGGCTGATAGTGTTTATTGTACCCCTACAAATACGACGTCTCCTGTGGATGACGGAATGAGATATACTATACTATTTTGGGTTATCTCAGTTTTTTTATCAAAAAACCGCATCCGTGGAAGGTGCTGCTCAAATATTCTAAGCAAAAACATCGCTTGCTGTCCAGATTTCTGATGCATTTTCACAGAAACGGCGAATAACGTTTTTATAAATCTGAGATTAGCGGACACAACAATGAGGTTCTAACCAATATCTTTGAGATGTTACACCTTTTCATGGACAGAAAATCCCTCTGTGTTTTTGCTTGATAACACGGATTGTTGATCTCAAGGCTGTCGTGAGGCTACACAAATTCTGATTATCTTTTGCAGTAGGTGGAATTCCTTCGTCGTACGGATCCTAATCAAGCCTGGGGAATCGCGGCCAAAAGTGAACTTGGCAGCTAGGTCTCAGGGTCCTTCTAATACAATGCTAGTTCCTTGTGCGGCAAGCCTTGCTGATTCCACCTCCTTTGTAAAGATGTATATGTGAAATATCGGTGCTTTATCTGCTTTTGATTTCATTTCTCTCAAATACATTAAAGGAATATGTCTCAAACTGGTTGAGACTTTTGCTCAACAGGTTGCCGGCTTTACTTTACACTTTTTTACGGTGATAGAGTTTTTCGATTCATCAGGTGATATGAACCACATCAGTAACTGTCTTAAATTAAAAATAACTTGCCATTGTACTTTTTGACGTGAACCTATACGTAAAGTTTTCCCTTGAAAGTGATAGAAGTCAGCAGAAGATGTGTTTTCTCATCAGAGTAACGTTTATTCAGATTGAATAGGATTTAAGTTGGCAAATATTTACTTCCGGTCTCTCGGTTCGGTCCCAGAATTCTTTTCTGATTGTCCAGGTAAGTAGCAAGGAAGATTGGGTGTTAAATCTGAAAATTAAACAATAGTGAGTAGTGTGTAACGAGTAGTAATTGTTTTGCCTGATAGATTTCTATGATGCGATATACAAAAAACAAAGCAGAAAAAGGACAGCTCAAAATCTGTGCGTCACCAAGTGTCACTCAGACGACAGCTTGAAAAGACCTGAAACTTAAAGTCCGATTCGGAAAATTAAAGAAACAAGGGCACCTTAAATTGTTCGAAATTGCTGAGTGTGATCCATAGTTGTCTAGGAAAAAGACCGGTAAGAAAAATATGTAGACCTTGCTCTACTAAAATGATTTGTTACAGCTCGGAATTTCTACATCCAAAGTTCGTTGGGATGGCATTTCGAACGTGGGTAATCTCCTGCGATACTAGTACAAATTTTCATTATCCGCTGAACACGACCGTTTTGTTTATCAACAGATTCTTCTAAAATGATACTTACCACCATAAAATTATATGTTAACTGATAGTATATCATTTAGTCAATGTCATTTTATTAGCTCTTTTCTGTAAATTAGTTATGTTCTATCAGTCTGATGACCGTATTTAAAGGCGTTAGACTTGCTTGAGGTTAATTGTGTCTTAGTACAACACCGATGTTTTCTTTTCTGTGAATAATCCGTCATTATGCCCATCCAGCGGTTCATTAAATATATTTATCAACTTTAACGTATATTACCCGGGTGCTGAATGTAATCATCACTTGCAAACTTTATATCCACGGTCTGTCTCTTATTCTTCCGTCATGATCCCAAGAGTTTGATGTCTTTTCCCACTTCTGTCCTTGCTGACGTAGATATTTAACTTAATTTGACAAATCCCATTGTGCAATAGGTTGAGTAAATCCTCCGGCGTACCCTCATATAATTCAACGACTAAATCTCACATTTATTTAGTAGTTTACCTAGATGAAACCAGATATAGGACACAATAAATCCCCACGACGTCTGACGAATATTTTTTAATCTTCGGATGCCGACACGGATTCTTGTTGTCATCACAAAGGACGATCAAACGAGGTTTCTGAAAACATCAGGAAACACCTCGCACACTAATCAATACTTATGATGAGGCATCTGTATAAAAACGACAAAAAGAAGTTGAGACCTGAACCCACTTTGATTAGCGGGAATTTGCTTAGCACAACATGGGATGCATTTCTACGTGGAAAAGTGTTATCTATTTTGAAAATAACGAGTATTTGTTCGCTTATTATCTAAGGGACTTTATAAACGGTCACAATATCCCAAATCCTACTGAAGGACGAAGACCCGTATAGGAGAAGAGCAGTCGGGGACTTTACGATTTCGAGGAAAGTAATCAGGGCAGAATTTCTTTCCGCAAGGGTCAATATAAAATTATTTTCTTTTTGAATTACACCAAATGGAAATGTTATTTTTAACAACAGATTAAGTTAACCGCACTTACTTTTAAAACAAAAAAACTTATGATGGTTGACATATATGACTTTAAGATGAATATAATCCAGACGGATAAATCAGAAGCTTGAGTATCCCTGGGTAAATAGATGTTCTTTTACCTTCCTAATCAAAGTAGGTATAGAGAAAAACGACTTTTAAAACGCACAACAATGAACCCCGGGGTTGGTGTTCCACTATGAATTCGGTGGTTAAGCATTGTTAGTGATTCTTTACAGATCGAGAGCAACAGTCGTATATTGCTGCTATAGAATTTGTGAGTTGTGATAATATATGACTATTCATTTCATATACTATTCACTTTTATTACTGACATGTTCCAAGAATACAAAAAACTCAAAAGCTTTTTAGCACAATATGATAAATTACCTTTCTTATATTTCAATTGGTTCCGCGTAGTGAAATTCTTTCACAGGTGACCAGCGTTTCCATATATCTCGAACACCTGGACGTCTGTAAATAAAAGATGTTGAGCTCCGTTCAAAATAGGGAACAGTTATTAGGTGCCAGCATAGAAAGAAACGAGTGTGCAGTGGTGGATTTTTGTGTGTACGTTGTGCGTAACTCTCCCTTTCTCGACTGAATGTTTGCATACCAATTTGAGGTTCCTTGTTCAAAAAACCCCCATTTGATGAAAGATTAGATTCCATTATTGGTACATACAGCATTTAACATAACTAGTACTTGACGGAAATTCACATTAGTCGCAATAACCCCCAACAGTCTTCGGCAGAATCAATCAGTCAACAAGTTGGGTAAATAACAAATTTGACGACTCGATGAAAGATGCAAAAATGAACTTTGATACGGTTATTAAAAGACTCTTACTGCTTTGATTTTCTAATCAACAAGCATGGTGTAAGAAGGACCGCGGGATTGAAGTTGTTTTAACAGAACATTGGTAAACAAGCGATGGCGAGATTACTGCGAGTTAGCGGGTGAAGTACAGTCATTTAAAGAAACAAGTTGACATTTATATAAATTCGTCCGGGTTAAGAATTTTAAGTTTCGTGAATTACAAAATCATGGTCAGTAGCCGTCTTTCCGCACATAAGGTACACCCATAGTCTAGTTTTCGATGAGTTCGACGTTTTTCCAGCGCAGCCTTTCCATAAATCGCAATATGACATCCAACCCACTGAATCACCGATAAATAGCTTGGCAAAACAGCAATTTTGCCTATCCAGCCCGTGTTCATTACAAGATTTTCCGGCACTTGGTAGCACATGTTCGCTCTTCTACAGCTGCTAACTGATGTGCTAGTAAAGAGCTCATTAAACCTCAAAGCAAGAGTGCCCCCACTTTTTGTTGTACGGTGTCTCAGTTCAACGCATTTATGATTCATGCAGATGGCTGACTGGTGCATTTTGTTCATTAGAGCCCTACTAAGTGATCAACATATTACAGGAATAATAAATATAGAGAAGTTTAATAAAAAAAATTGCATAACTGTGACGGAACATTTCAGTGATCCTAGTGTGATTTTGACTTTTCTATGAAGGTCACGTTATACCTGTCCAGTTCATTGAATGATCGCCATAAATTCATTATGCTGTGAAGTCTCGGGTCCATTACGATCACTCAGATAACGGTGGTTGGCACTGGACCGCGGTTGATCCTCATCTCATCGTACTTTCGAATATTTCCTCGTATTTGTCTAGTCGTTCTGTTGTATCACGTATTATCAGTTCCCTTTCTGATCCGCATATGACTCTCTTGGAGACCATATGAAAAGTCAGCAGTTCATTGAGCAATAAGGGTTAAACCATTTCTTTTAATGATGAAGACGATGAGAATGTATTTGAAAAATAAAGTAAAGTTATGAGGTTAGTGCGCGTTGATGTGAAACAAACGCACACTCACATTCTTCTTTTTCCTATGCACATGGTCCTCAGCGCTTCAGTTAGAGACAAGTGTGCGCAATAACCTATTTGTTGGTCTTTTAACGTAAACAACGTGGAAAACTGTAAACAATAAGCAGGGAGATCTGATTAACCGGTTCCGTTTATATTACTACGTACATTCCGTTGCACTGTTGTTCTTGAGCGGCGGAAACAGTTTTACCCAATACCAAATGGAACGAACATAACTATATTCACTTCACTATAAATATGTGGCGATCTTCTTGATTCGTTTCGAAAAAATAGCAGATATGGCGACAAACTATTCCAGAAGCTCTTAGAAGCTGCACGTCAAACAAAATTTTCCTAGAGAAATACAGTATTTATATGCAGTGAATAATTTCACCTTCAGTGTATAGGAATTAACACGAGGTACGAGAAAGTGCACATTCAAATTGAGATGAACTATCTGATTGCCCCCAAAATAACGGTAACCTATGGTTCATAGTTAATTGCTGGCAAAATTTCACAGTAGAGTGCTGCAAATATGACCTGAAAGGAATAATGTACTGCAAAAAATACAAGGACCATCCACGTTACCCTAATTGCCCGTCGTTACCAAGTATTCGTACACAATTTAGATTTGTGAATACCTGCAACACCATAAATCATCAGAACAAGTCATACTCGTGAATTCCGGCGAAAAATCCCAACAAAAGCATAAAATAACCCGGAGGAATTCAGTCACTCGTGGTGAATATGAAACTTCCAGTACGTGGGAAAAACAGCATGCTTTTTTTAAAACTTCTGAAATAGTCAATGTGTGCTGAAATCTCATTTGGCTTGGCTTATTCTAGACTATAGTCTAGGAGAGGTCGTTGTAAGGAAAACCATTTGGCAGGAGAAAAAATTATCTACATTTGTATCAACTGTGAATGTTTTCCAAATTCCCCGAACTGAAATGTTCTGATCGTGGTGAGCTTCCATTGCCGTAAATTGTGGAACGATTTCCCACTGAGAAAATTCACCGATGCTCAGTGGTTGCAATGTCAACAGAAATTGCTTGTTATTCTACTGATAATACTTGGCCGTCTCAGCACCAAGGTCACTGCAAGTGATGGTATAATGCGTTGGAGTTTATGGTTTCCATTATTTTGCACAAAATCGATGAATTGCGGGAAACGGGATCTGGGGAAAGCCTTCACTGAATGTCAAACGTTGGTAAACTCAAATCATGAACTAGATTCGTAGAGCGTTCATTTATCCGAAAAGGTCCCCAAGTATACTGAAGTCTTTTTTACAGTTACACTAAATATATTTGTAGCTTATGCTATCTATTGTCTAAAGGTCAAACTACACTTTATATTTCATGTGCTCATTCTTTCTAACTTTTCTCGGAATCAAAATTACCGTCAAACCTGTGTCACATGGTGCTATTTGAACAAAAGTGACGGGATCGATATCCCTCTATCTTCCTGACCTGACCAAAAAAGGACTTTGTGAAGATTCAGTTATAAGGACGAATACATTATATATATATATATATATATATATATATATATATATATATATTGGTAGTAAGTAGTATGTAAAAGCGTGAACGAAATTTCCCCGGAAGCACACGACCGGTTTTGCGGTTGTTGCAGCTCGTCAGGCATGCCCAGAGGTTCGAACTCACTTTTGAATATGGAGATATTTTCGATGTAGGCAGTATGATATTGTATCTGGATGACAACGCAAAATACCCCAGGATGCATACGACCTGTTTCGCGGTTGTTGCCGCTCATCAGTTATGCATACCCGGTTATCTCGTGTCAATCCATTCCTTAACAAATCATTACCTTTTGATTATCAAAATAGACCTTTCGCATATGCACACTTCTAACAACTCAAACGAGAATAAGGTGTGAAAGATAGTGGTATTCAGTCAACACTCACACCCTACAAACTTAATTAATAATGTTATCAACCCGCAGACAGCACACCAAGTGGTGACCATGATAGCACAGATTTTGCACGATCGTCTAAATACTGATCTCCACCATTGTCGATCTGCTAGAATCAGCGACACCAAACTTGTCCGGATGGACAGGTTGCGATTATCAGCAAATGTTCTTTAACAGCAGTTCCTAGCCTCATTATCTGGATTTCAAAAGTAAACACTCACCTTTTGTGATATTCATACATGCCATCTCTAATCCTCATGACCGGTACACTGCCAATGGGTCCACTGCAAAGAAGAGAAAAACAGCGTGTGATAAAACCGAACTTCGACCGACAAATTACTGGACAAGGTAATCATCGTACCTGACTTGTTTTGGCATTTTCAACATATCCCTGCTTGAATTCGGTTACCAAGAAGGCTACAATAAATGCTGTTCATCAAGTTAAATTCAAATGTAAGCAAACTTGGCGACTACATTTATTCTGTGTTTAATATTCTCCACCAGACTGTTTGCACTTCTCTTTATTTAGAGTGACGTGGAACTCCCGCTGTTTAAAGCTAATTACTTGTGATTTTTACCACATTGTTTGCCCTCTTTGACCTTTAAATGCGTTACATACAATTCTCACCTCGTCGTTGCTATGAAATGTGCTTGCATTTGGTCAGCTATTGTCATTGTTTGATAAATTTCATGCACTGAGTGAATCATGAATTTGAGTGAAAGATTTGAAGATGCAGGCAGGTTAGATCCAGAGGGAATTGTCATAACAGCAGGTAACTGCACCACAAACCGGATGAAGTTAATGGGAGTTAGATGAAACGGGTTTTACCTAGATAAGAGGTTGCTTTGCTTCCCGAGGATAATAACGGCGCTGATCAGTCACAAAATAAAGCACCGGGCAGAATTTACTAATAAATGATGGGTCGTGTAACATCACTAGTATGATGCAGTACATTGCTACAAATGGATCAAGGTTGATCGAAATCGGAACGAGTCATCTAAAGTGAAAGACCACTACGTTTTTGGCGAAAAACATGAAATTGACTGAATTGACCTCTCTTATAGTTTGGTATATCATACCGTGTTAGGGTAGCGTTTCTGAAAGTCGAAAAAGGCAAGTTTTGTACCACTGATTCCCGAGTGCGAGAGGAGAAATGTTTGCTAGCCAATGGTCATGGAAAGACGGAAAACTTATATCATATTTATCGGTATAGAGAGTGAAGTTCAGCTAAACTTATGAAGTTTGGAAAACCTTTCGAGATAAGAGAGAAAACAGAAATAGACATAAAATTGCTTATTCTTTCCCGTTATATAATTCGGAAAAAATAATGAATCATTGAAAACTACTGATGAAAATATGTTGAACACGGAAATATGATTCTTACTTTTCACTCAATTGCAAATCACGTGCTCTATTTATTCGATTGGGCTAACCATCATTTCTTTGTCATTCATCTAATAATCATTTTCAATAAACAGGTCTTTTTGAAAGCAAATTTGATAAGAATGCCTCTAATGAAGTTGTTGGTAGATCTGCTCTTCGTGATCCCTTGGGTCACGTAGTGATTGGTAACTTCGCGAAATTTATTTTTTTAGGAAAATAGCGCTTGTATTTCCCGGTCAGTAATACGTATTCAGGAAGCCAACCATATCAGTATCTGATTTGCTCATTAGGGTTTTGAAACTCGGACCAACGCTGCCGCAAAGCCATATGGACCTTCAATTAATTATGCCAAATATACATTCCACCCAGATTTGGAATATTTCTCAAGAAAAAATAACTTGTGCCAAGGCGTGGTCATTATGTTCAACTGAGAAATAGTTGAATTCAGCTTCGATATCTTTTCGTGCATAGGCTAGTAAAAAATAATAACTGGTGTTCAAAAATCAGAATAGTTAAGAATGAAAAAGGTGATTAGAAGTGTGAAGGAAGCAGATGGATACAATCAGATAGAGACTGGCATAACCTTCCGGAATGCAGTCTTCCAACTGTTTGCACAGGTTGGGTTCATGTCGTGGGATCGGAAGTGTTTCGAACATTCAAGTCAAAAGTCAGAATTTGAAAACCGTTAGGTGCAATAGCCTTTTTGGGATACGATGCATGCCTTAGTGCAATATTCACTCAACAGGTAAGCTGAAAAAAGTACTTTAGATGTTTTGGAAATGACATTAGCAGCTTTTAAAGTTCCATTTGACAAAAGTCTTATTTTTTCAGTACGAAGATTTAAGATATCATTTCAAAATTCACCGAGGATTACACCGGAGGCTTCGGCCTCTGATTTATTAGTTTATTGGATTACCAAAAACTATTCATCCAACATTCATAAACTTAAGAAAATTTTGGTTAAAGAGCTTATAAAGGCATCCACACATTTCGTGAATGATGAGAGACTCAAGATGCCCTAGAGGAAAGAACATAATCGTGCACATAGACTAGATCTACTTCTGGTAAAAAAGTCTGATTTAAATTTTGACCGACATATAAACAGGGCTCATTTGTGTGAGGTCCTTACTATTCACATTTGCATTGTCAGGAGGTTTACCATATAAAGACCAGCCAAGTAGTAGATACTTATAACGGAATGCAGATCATGTGCCATTTATAACACTTGTTCACGTGATAAACTGTGCGACTCGAGCCGTATGAATCTCTGACTAAAACATTGCGCGAGTTTGCCAATCTATTCATCATTGTATACCGTTCACCGTAGTCAATAGTCTAATGTCTACCCTATTGCTGCCCTTCCGGATCTGTTTGTTTGTTCGTGAACTTCCCTATTTTACATCGCAAAGTCACTGTTTAGCGCAGTATGATGAAGACTTTGCTGTGAGAAGCAAGCGTCCTACTCAGTGCTGCTGATAGCCAGTGTAAAACGTCCGTTTATTTGATACCGCAGAAAGAACTTACAGCCGATCAGCTTTGTGTGGATGCTCTGATCGTGCGTTGAGTGAGTTGGACGCAGATTTTCAATGTATGTGAACTCACTTTCAGTATCAACAGGAATAAACGAACATTTTGCACCTTGCAATGTGTTTTTATTTTTGGCTCCGAAAATTGAATGAAGCTGATTCAGTCAAAAAACCTGGACCAGTAGCTAGTTTGCACTGTTAACTGGTTGTCCACCTGAGGTTACGAAGTCAGCCCTCACAATGTACTCATATAGTGATGGAGAAGTATCGCTGGAAGCAAAAGTTATCCTTGAACAATCAAGAGTGTAACAAGTACCTCAGGAAGTACTTTGAGCCGGGAATTATTGTTTTTGTGGTTCTTTTATACAGTCGTTCTGCAAATAGTTTCCATCCTCTGCATATTTGGTAGTATGATGAGTTGGAGTAGAAATGTTCCTCTTGGTTCCTTTACCTCTCGGTTGTTACAGGTTTTACTGTAAGACTTTTTGTATGACCGTGTAATTTGAACAAACGAGGTACACAATATCAAGAGGACAACAAAGTCACAGTTCTGTATCATAACTTACCGATATTGCATAGCCTCGGGAATGAGCATTTGAGCAGAGGAATACACGTTGTTACTAAACGTTCCACAAGCAATAACTGAAATGAGAACAGATGGGCGAACCAAAATTAAGCTTTACCATAGGTAGCGCTTGAGATTCGACAAAATGATTCCTGAAATAAATTGAGTAGACTTACTTTGCTGAGTTTCCCCTTTTGCTCATATAGATACGAATATTAATCCGGAAAAGCATGATAATACTAACGCCAGTTTTATTATTTTGGTTTCGCTTCAGAAATAACTGTGTCCATCCTGACCAGAAAATTGAAAAAGCGATGCCCTGCAAGGGTGGTCCTCCAACTCCATTGATCCAGTTAGCTCACGATTGATGTGTGCTTCAAGCAGATTTTGGCAGAACCGTCTTTTCTCCAGGAGGATTTATATTGAAATAGGCGAGCAGTCAAGTGCAAATAACATCCGTCCCAAGCATCACAGTCAAGCAAAACTACATTTTCCTAATGCTATACAGCAGGTCAGATAAGAGTTTCTCGCTGTTAACCAAACCGGCGATACATCACGTTTTCTGCAACTTAAGTGACAAACGACGAGCTTTTCTATCATCAATATTAAACTTGAACCTGACTTTATAGATCCTAAACTGATTTGGCTTGAGGTGGGTGACCTGAGTTCAAAATCCTAAGCACTGTCGTCTGTTAACGTTTTTGTCAAGAAAATGTTCACGACAAGCTGTCCTAATTACTCAAGAATTATAATTTAATATTTTTGCGTTTCTTTGCAATATATTTCTCAAAAACGCCGTTCATCTTGGTACTTTTCTGTCCGCCGACTGGTTTATTTCTTTCACAGACGAGAAACAAGGAGACAGTTAATGTAAGGCTGAAACAATATTTGGGCTGATTGGAAACACCCTCTCGTGGACGATAAAATTCTGCGAAATCAAACCCAAAACCTTTTTCGTTACAGTAATTGTTCCTTTATGATGTCGGCCATTTACACTCCTGAGTAAATAAGACCAAGTTTATTATGGTAAAATGGGGGAGTCCATTAAGGATTCACCTACTGCGTGATTGCAAAAGCTTATAAAGTTTTGATTTGGTATCCAAATAATAGCATTGAATAAACCGCATTCCAGTACTTCTAACTAGCTATGATATTGTTTCCATGCTGAAATGTATGCAATTGTGTTGCTGCATGCACGGTCTACGCCGATCGACTACTCCCTCGCCCGTTTCACAATACACTCATCCTGATCACAAAAGTCACTCAGATTGACCGAATTAGAGTCGACGAAGTACCGAGATTACACTGCGAGCAAAAAACAAGCTGGTTTCCAGTGAGTTGGTTTACTGCTATGAAGAAGCAGTTGCGGAGGTCCTGATATAAAGAAACCGCTTATTTTTATAATTCGATATTTTCGCAAAACAACAAGAGAAAAGTAAGCAACTCGTGGAGAAACTGCTTTATCGGTTTGTTTTACATAAACAGTGTATTTAAACATGGTTAGCAGTCCAGACCTGTTTGGTGGAAATTCGTTAATTTGTGTATCCATCTGGTCAGTGGAGATAGCTTGGAGTAATTCGGCAAGTTGGGTATTTATTTGGCTCAGCTCTCACGTTAAATCCATGTTTTAAAGTTATTACAGGCTACTCTGAACAGCCATTTTAGGCTGAGCTCAAGGAACACTGAGCATTTGTGGCATTTTTGTATAAACCTACAAGTGATAATATGGTCCACGCAATTAGGTTATTATACACCCCCCCCCCCAATGTATTGTTCTCACATGAACCAATTCATAACTAAATCACTCACAGATACCGCCCCTGAATGAACCTTCGTTTGGCTGCCTGAAATGAATAGTTTTAAGATTCCCAGACACATGACATCAAGGGAATTTCGAACATGCTAATGCAAAATATTTTGTGGCAGTTGCTTTTATTGAACTATTACTATCAATTATTTTTTTCCTAATGACAATAGTCTGAGACGATTTTCCTTTGTGGACACGGCTTACTGTTTGGATGTATATGGTACCAAAAACCTTTTGTGATGTGGATCGGCTGTCAATAAACCCGTTTACGAGATGTTTCTTCTTATAGTCCCATAGATGTGATACAATGTTTGTTTTCAACAGATATGGTTTCTCTGGGCAATACTGGTTTCCGGTGGCATGGACGGCGTGCATAGTTGATACCAGCTCAATTAGGAATGAAAAAGCCTGAGTAAAACCCGTCGTATTTGGAGAAATAGAGGTTTTTCAGTAGTTTATTCTCAAACCGTGTACAGAAAACATGGAATATACCAGTGGAAAGACCTTGCGCATAGTGTATTCCATGTATTGTGTAAACAGCCTGGGAACAAATGACCGAAAAACAAAGCTTTGTTAAGTTGGGATTTTTTCAAGGAAAAAACTTGTGTTTTTCGAATGTTGGGCAAAATTATGAGGTTCCTATGAGAACTCTGGAATTTGACTCAAACTTTTGATAGTGCTAAAACATTGCGTTGATCATTTTTGCTTTCGGATGAAACACTTTTGAAGTAGAATTTTTCGGCACCAAAAAGGTATTGTGGATCAAGCAGCCCATGATCAAACAATATTAAATCCGTTGCTTTATTTTTACTATGTTTGACAGTATTGAGCTTGGCCACCGTGTGAATGTATATGCCCTGCAGATCCTGTCAACAAGTTTTGAGAACTAATCACAATAACTTTTTGGATTAGATGTTTCTCTTTATCTGCTGATCGAAGAGCAACCTAAATAACGATAATACCACTAGGCCAACAAACTTAATCCGAGGTACCTTCCGAGCTTCTGCGAATACTTTGGAAATTGAGAGTACTTCTTTCATGGTGACCCAAGATGTTTGACCGATCTTTTGTGACAGCCTCACGGAAGGTGTGAATGTGCACTTTCTTCATCAGTTGGAATGAAGAAATGTTTCTTCTCGAGTAGGTTATTCTTCCAGTAAAAACCTATATTAATAACCCCAGAAACTCATAAAATAACCGGATGTTCTTCCCCAATTCGCTAATCGTCCATCATTCCTTTGTTTTCAGAACAAGCTCTGTCATTTCGGTTCCTTTCACGTCCTTGTCCATACATCGAGGTTGGTGATGTTGGTGTTTTCAGGAGAGCTGAATATAGACCACGCCAAACGGGACGATGTAAATGAAGAAAAGACCAAGGTCGGTGCACGATTGCTGGATTAGCATGCATTGTTCACCCGTAAGTAGTCCGTCGTGATAACAGTCGGATGTCTTCTTACATGTTTCCCGACTCTAATTTTGTCCATCAAGAAGAAGGTTTTGTTTTACCTTTTCCAAATAATGAATTCACGTCATGTTAGCAAAAGCAATTTGTAGAAAAAAAAAACACACGAAACCTGACTGAAAAGCGTAAACTCAGTAGCAATCAATATTTTGGCGTTAGAAAAGGTGCCTGAATGCTCTTACTTGATTAGAGATTTTATCCATATACTTTATACAGGTATTCTACTGAGCGATATTATATCCAGGCTCGAATAAAGAGTTTTTTTGCTCCTAAATGAGTTTCACTGTTGCGACATCTGACTCAGACAGTCACTCAGACGATTAATCGACCCCCGTTGAAATTCTGCCTTTGCCAGCTCCTGTGCGGTTTTACGTTTTACGGTTCGCAATACAACGCAATCCAATTACAAATCTGTTCATTTCTGATCACAACTACTCTGTGTGCATCCGTGATCATATTGGCCGTGGATGATTACCCGTGCTTTGTGTCATCATACGCGTGTTCTTACTAGTTCCGTTATGTCACGGATGCTACTTGTGCTGCTAGTGCTGCTCTTGCTGATTCGGCGGCTACTGGTACGTCTACTCCTGTTGTTATTGTACCAGTACAACTACTGTTCGTCTTGCTACTACCATCATTACTACGAATACTGATACTGGTACTACGGCCCTTATGTCTGTTTTTCCGCTTCTGCTCTTATTCTCACTACGACCACTACGCCTGATCCTGCTACCAACAGAAAGTCTTTTATCACTCCTATTTCTCTACTAGAACTACTGTTGTAAATACACCGCCGGTCGTGCGACGTGTACTTCCACCTTCGAGGAGGAAGAGGTGATGTAGTGTTCGACTTGGACAGTCACACGGAAAGTCGTTCGATTTGCATTCCAGTTCTACGTTTGTTGGCTTTTGCACAAATGACCATTTGCTTTGATAATCTGCTTAGTTCAGCATAGGACAACTATATGAATGTGTCACTCCATTCCAAATAAGGAAACAAATCGATGGCTGCATTCTCACTGGGACAGTGGAAGATCCGACCTTCTCTACCGAGTGGGAAATTATATAGAACTGGTACTTTAAACGGAATTGAACTAGAGGTTACCATTACAAACTGGCGGAGGCACGAGCTACAGGTTTTCTACTGGACTCTGTCATTATTCATCGCAAAATGATTGTTCGTTCACTATCTTTCTTGCAATTAGCCTAACATACCTTTACTATGGTTGTTTTTTACTTAAAACTGAAAACTTCGATAAAATGAGCAGGAGGACAAAGCATCACGATAAATGACCACCACTATTACAGCGCACATGCTTACTTGTAAAAGCTGTATGAATTAATCCTTATACGATTTTAATCAATCATGAGTGCTGATTTAACTGCGATTGTAGTAAGTAAATTGTGTAAAATATTCCCATTTTTTGTGTAAACTCCAATCAAACCTTTGGCTTAAGAGCCATTTCAGGAAACATTCCTATGCATTTCAAAGCAATTTTGTGAGTTGTTAGTTATGTAGCCTTTTTGTGGACTTGGTTTGTCACAAACAATAATAACGAAAGAATTCCTGCCGATGTTGAAATTCTTTCACATTACCAACATACTGGAGATTCGGATTTTAAAACACAACAGAAATATGGAAAATTGGAAGACCTTACAAACTATCTTCTCAATACAGTTAGGAGGACTTTATTCATATGAACAAACGATCAGAAGGAACTTACCCAGAATCCATATTGTGATTCCAAATCTCAAGGACATTTCGTTTGGCTAAAAACACAATTTCGTTCGGCGCTTATCCGTTCTCCTGCATGGTAATGCCCATGTATTTATATGCCGGCTCGGTTAACTGCTCACTCAGTCGACAGCCTGGGACATACTTGTGCACATTCATAACGGACCACTCAAAAGCTCCGATTCGCTACCCTTGGAAAGAAATTGTCAGACGGGCATAGCATTGCGTTTGAGCTCAAGAAAACCAGCGAGGTGAGTGGCTGTACTAGTGATTTTTTCATTTTCAATTTTGAAACCGTTGTAATATTCCTGATTCAGGTCACTGAAATAATCCATTATAGTTAAATCTGACTCAGTACCAATCCTATGCTGAACAATAAATTGACATCGAAAAAAGGCATCCCATCTATCAGTTGAACAGTAATCATTGTTTTCTGTTAAAATGAGTTTGTTATTATTCCACAGCAAAACCGTACCGATTGGGATCAATATGAGACTAATCTAGTGGTTTTGAATAGTCTGATAATATTGTGATGAGGTTGAGACAAATTTACTTAGTTTTCCTTGTAAAATGATGCTTACACTCGACGTACAAGACATATATATTCAATGAATGTTGTCAAGAAGTGAACCGGTTTTGTGCTCATTTAAAAAATTTTCATGAGTAGTTTGAAGGGTCATCAAGAAATTGTCGATATTTTTCAACGGTACTTGTAGGTTGTGTAATAAATGTCTTTAGCACAGACGAGATAAGTCGACTAAAATACGTGCTCAACTCAGCCCTTCCAAACTTCCAGTTCACAGTGGAAACAAAGTCATCGACAACGACCGGGTAGTGTTTACGTTCTTGAAAATAAGTGGAGTGCAGACTATATTCGTTCTGCTACTACTGATTACGAACAAAACGATGTCCACTGGAGGTTGACCGCCTTTTAGATGCCTCGTTTCCAGAGTTAACGGTCAGGGTTAAAGGGCATCATCACGTGTTGAAATGACGGGATGAGTGGTAAAACCGGATTGCATAGTCTTCCGGCAAACATGTGGGATGCCCCTTTTCTGAGCCTGTATCTAGGTCAATTCCAAGCCGTAATTCAGTAGATGCGCATTGTTCTTCACGACGTTTAACTATCCGAATGGTATATCTTTACCGCGTCGTCCCACATGAGGCTTCAGAGCTGGGTTCTGCTTTAAAAATGCATCCAATATACGAGTCTATTTGCATGTCAGAAGATAGCCAACTGGAGCACAATATCTCAACGTACAATCCGATTTAGTATATGTCTACTTTCTGATGGCTCATTTTAGTGTAACCCTGGATGTTGACTATCGCAGAATGCATGTCTTGTGTGCACGATCCACTTCCACATCACGTGACTGTTTTTGACAAGTTTCTGCCCACTAGTCTTATTGCTCACGGATCATTACGTGTGTGCTTGCCCTACGTTACATATTTCATGTCTAAATAAAGCCGTACTTGGTATGCCAATATACCAATACATTTCAGTGTAAGTTTATATTTCTTCTAATACCTTTTCAGGCCATTCAGTGATCATTTGGATTCTCGGGTTTTACTCCAGTATACGCGTTTGACGAAATTTATCTTCATCATTATTTGAAGTGGGCTCACTCCATACCATGGCAATATCCGTAAATTATAAGTATCTTAGTCAGTGAATAAAACACTATTTTCTTCGTCTTATTTAAATGCCTCATCTAGTATCACTGAGGGACTCAGATGCTTTCCGCTGACATATGATTCAATGAAAGAATGCAGCGATCGATCTTGAGCTACGGTGACTCAACCAATTAGGCAAGTGCAGCATCCAGCGTATATCCTAAGATCCTCAGGTCAGTTCAGTATTTATTTGGCACTAAACACTCGTACATAGATCAGTGGTTTACATCAGATAAATATAGTTTTATTAGTACAAGAGGATATAAATGATTATGTTTCACTTTGACTCCCATTTGAGTCATATAGGGTACTACTAAATTCTGCATAAAAGAAGTACGAATATTTTTGACATTTGATGGCAGGCATTGGCAGCAGATATATCTGTTGCCCTTCGTCTTCGCTGTGTTTGAAGCCGTAAAGAACAGTTATAGTATTGGGGCAATTTGAGAGCAGATACTTTTTTCGGCTGATCATGTTCTTTGCCTTTACCATCATTCATACTGTAGACAGAAAGTAGAGCAACTTCTTTGGTGAAAACCGTACAATATGAGGTCGGTGAATGCGGAAGGTGAAATAGGAGCGGATGCGAGAGTGTTAGAATGAGTATTGTGGCCCCTAATCAAGTGCGGACGGTTGCCTTATTTGGTGGTATCATTGACAATCTACCAATTCAAGTGCATTCGCATTCGAAACTTTGGAAGAATCAACCTGTGTGAAGCTAGTTCAGTACATTGTGTGAAAGTCCCAAGCAGCCTCCTTTTCTCGCTCCCGTGACTTTAATCAGCCGGCCCTTTCCAACCATTTCGACCTGCACGTCTTCCTTTCTTTTCACATGTTGAACCCGCCTCGGTCCAACTACAGTCTTCCTAAGAGTGCACTTTTACAGTGGACCAATTTTCCATTGCGGTCAATCCAGGGGCCTACGATCTTCACGTTTTGTGCGTCATAGGTGCCCGACCTTGTGTGTTATGCTTGCATCGTTCTTTGTTCACTTCCTCACTTACACCACACGAGTGGCCTTTGTAATTTCCTCCCATGCTGAAGATCATGTCACGTCTGCATAAGCGTCTAGGTCAAGCGTGCGTGCAATGCTCTTGGTCGTTGTCTGAACTAATTTCATGGTCATACCTGTCCATCCGTCTCATGTACACTTACCACTCCTTCCCTGATTGGCCAATTGTTCTTCGTGTGAAAGATGAATTTCACCGTGTTTCGATGACTCGGTCCCGTATTGCTCGGTGTACTTTCCTCGACAGACCCTTCCGACGATTTGAAGTATATTCCCGGACCATAATGATTGAATTTCCCCCACGAAATTGAGATATTTGGCTTGTTATTCCTATGATTGTTCTCTGAAGTACACGTAGTTTACCCACTCGCCTTATTCGATTTGGGTTTCGGGTCTGTGTTCTACGAGTCACTCATTCACTGGACAGTGGTTCACTAACAGAGTGATTCTAAAAATGGACTCCGTCCATGCAAGCTCCATTCGACTGAATTGAGATCACAGCCTTAAACCAACTATGAAGTGTTCAAGTAGGGAGATGATCGGGCAGAGGAGCACCGAGTAAGCATATATAACGAACGGCTGCAACCGTAAAACCGGTCATGTGCTTCCAGTGGAATTTGATCGTGTCATCTAGATACAATGTCATACTGCTCTCATCATAAATCCAAGTGCATCTGAGTTGCAAATTACATTTGTTGTGTTACTTTTATACCGCACCGAAGGGCTTCAGACAATCTGTTTTCGAAACATGAGACGGAGTCTGCGTAAAGTCAATCGTAGTCCATAGAAAGCATCAGTCCACAGATACCTCACAGAGCAAGAGTTGACACAGTTAACTTTCATAAGATAAAGTCAGAACTGTAAAAGCACCGAAAGGTTGCAAGAAAAAATTCTTCAGTAATGGCCAAAAACAGAAAACCCTGACTTTCAAACTGGTGGACTAAAAATGAAAGATGGTTGCTCTCTACTGAAAGGGTCAGGCACTTGATCCCGGCAGGTTCAATCTCAGTTGGCCCTCTTCTGTCTGTTTCACTGAGCACGGAGAGACTCCAGGTTTTTCAACAAAAATCTTCATTTTCTGACACCAAGTAGTAAGATTCTTTGAAAGCCGTTCTGTCTGCAGCACAAGACCAAAGAATTTGTCACCGTAAATTTCAGAAACTGGAAGAAAGGTATGGACGAATTCCGTTTTGTATCAGTTGTTGTGGTCCTAAGCTGTCGGAAAGAAGAGTTGTCAATATGATAAAAGTTTGTGAAAACCCAGAAAAAATCAGTGGCTGGATGCAAAATGAACGGCTCCCGTATACTTTAAGCCCAAGCAGAATGCTAAGCAGTTAAATACCTGAAAAATCCAAGGAATGTGCTGATTCGGTTTTCAAAGCAAAGCAGACGCCTTCATTAACGACTGCAAGAAAAATATAAGTACGTGCAAGCTATGTGGTGCCTTGCTATTTCGTACGCCTATGTGCAATGGAAGGAAGCTAGTCGAACCTAAAGCCACAAATAAATAGAGGTTTTTCTGATAACTTTGTAATCCATGGGACAGCATCGAGTTTCGAAAAATTCAGTGTCCATTTTCCTGTCGGTACAGTATTAGGTGTCCCAATGTAGAGTGAAACATGACCAGTTCAACAGTGTGTAGTAGCAGCCTAAGCTACAGCTAAGTTAACTACGGTGAGAAGGAAGCCTGTTTTATTCTCGATTTAATTTTTGGGGGGATCACGTAAATCAGAGTTATTGAGAAAAAGAGACTGAGCTTTGTGGAAAAATACTTATCGATCCGCGGATCTGCGTCTCGTTTTATCTTCAAGCTAGATTTTAGTTCTAGAAAAAATACAGATTTTATTGGGAACAAGCTCATTTTCAGTTGGCCAAATGGTTTGCTACTGTGGATCGGGTTACATTGGCTGTACCACCATGAGCTTGGCTAGTCGCATTCAGGAACATTAACCAAGTTGGTTTAGTCGTGGACTAAGAGAGTCCAACAGTAAAATCATTCGTCTTGCATCTGGAAAGCACAGTTTATTCCACTAACATCCGCTCTTGCTTGTCGCCCGTCTGCACGCTCACATGTTTACGATAGAAAGAGGCTTAAAGCGAGTACTGTACACCGGACATTTTTGCTATTATTTGGTTCGGTTTTTACTTAGAGAGTTGTCCACGTTTCGGTTGAAACAGATTTATCCTTAGATCCTCATCAAAATGAAGAGGGTGAAAAGAACGACTATTTATCAAAATATACCAAGAAACCCAGCTGAAGCTTGCACATGGTATGTGAGGATTCTGATCAGATGAGGTGCCGCGATGAATTTTCGTATGTTAATGAAAAAACTAAGCTGAATG